AAGGGGTGCCGATGGGCCAAAATGGCCCCGGCAGCTGTTCTTAGGATATCTTCAAGTACTTGAAACGGAGTCGACTTTTTCGATCCCAGATTTTCACTCCACCTTAGTAAACAAGATTCCCAATGAAGGCAGTCCCGCTCGTGTGTTGGATTTTTCGAGTGACCGTGACTCTTGGCCACCTAAACCAGAACAAGGACAGCCAAAGGACCAAATTGCGTCTGATGTCAATTCAAAGCAGACGGTAAGTAAGCGTTTTAGGCCCGTTGTAGGTGGGAAACAACGCATTTTGAAGGGGGCAGACCTGTTAAATGGAAGGTGCTTGGAGAATCGTCACTACATAAATACTACACTTCCTATCGATTAAGGACGGGAGGTGTATTGAGAGCATAGATGGCCGCTTACTTTGCATTTGCCGCCGATGCGCGCACTCTACAGGAACATGTCGATCTTCGCTTTCAACTGGAACCAGGGGTCGGCAACGGCCTAAAATAGGTTAGGTTATGTTAGGCACCTCCAAGATACCCCCAAAAAAATAGGTACGGGGTTAGGTACCACCAAGATACCCCTCAAAATAGTTTGGTTATGTTAGGCACCTCCAAGATACCCCCCAAATATAGGTACGGGGTTAGGTACCCCCAAGATACCCCTCAAAATAGGTTAGGTAAGGTTAGAGGCTCCCAAGATGGCGACCGGGACATTGTCCCATAGCAATGGCGGACCGGGACATTGTCCCATTCATACTACTAGACGGCGGCTTTCTTTTGGCCAAACACCAGGAAGCTCCGCGTCCTTGATCCCCATGATCGCCTGAATAAGGTATCGTTTGAGACCCTTATTTTCCTGTAACTGGGCTCTTAAAGCGCCTCCCGTATTAACATTAATGATTCTATGTTCCTATATTTATAGTATGTACCTATTTTACAGGTCCTGCACAACTTGAGAAAATGGTTCGAGAAGATGAGGAAAAGGATGCCACCGCTGCTGCTACGGCTGACACTGCAGCTACCGCAACTACCCCTGCGGAGTCTTTCTTAGAGCAGGAGGGAGACGATCCACCACCACTGTCTCCTCAGCCACAGCAGCAGCAGTACATGGATGTTGAAGAAGGACACAGGTGTAGATGAAATCGAGCGGTACACGGAAGAAAAAATTGGCTTCGTTAAAGTTCCGCTCAAATATGGTGGAGAGAAAACGTAGGTGTCTGTCTTGATCGCGACGTGGTAGTGGTAGTTGATCGGATATCTTAGCGATTGGCAACAGCACAAATTACTATTATTAATTGGTATGGTTTTTTTTTACAGGGCTCAAAAAGGTACCCAAAGTTGTGGGTGATCGCTAAACGCTTCTTTGGCATCATGTCCTCTAGTGCTCCAGCAGAGCGCGTGTGGAGCAAGACGGGTCTAGTAGTAACTTCACGGCGCTCAAGCATTGGCTCAGACGTCGTAAACGCCTTCATCGTCCTTCGATCCTACCGGCGAAATATACGGAAACGCCGGCAGTGGGCTCTCCAGCAGAACCAATGAGTATCATGAAACTGTCTTTTGATACGTTGTCCAAGTGAAAGTTCAAAAAAAAATAAAACAATAGTAAAAATGTTTGTTCTCACTTGGAGTTATTCATTAATTCTTGAGCGAAACCTTGGGACGTCCTAAGGGGGAGGGGGGTGACATAAAATATACGACATCTTATGCGCCTTTAAATGTATGACGAGACGACTCTCACGGGATGTTCGAAGTCCGTTCGTATTTGCATGTACGGAGTATTCTTGTCTACACGCCGTTCACGGTAGGCAACCAATCTCACACCACGCTGCACAGCGCGAGCAACCTTGCTCCTAGCTCTGCGAGCTCACACAGCTCGCCGGTGCTCGCTACCGCCTGCGCGCTCCGCACCACGCGCCGCCACTGCACGAGCTACCAGTAAGCAAGATTTGCTCGCGTTGCTCGCGCTGAGTGTTAGCTCGTGAGCGGGCAACGCGACGGCGGCTACGAGCAGACAGAGCTATGGGTCGCGGTCGGCGACAGAGGCGGGCGCTTGCTCAAACTGCAGGGCTCTAGGCGGCTGCTGGCTGGGTTGGCAAGCGCCATTTTGGCAATGAACTTCTTTTGGCGTTGGGACATTTTCACTACTACTACAGTGGCGATGGGCCGCTCATCGCCAACCCAGTGGCAATGAGGCCATTGCCAAAAGCTGGCAGTGGTAAATAGCCAACCGCTACTGCCGCCACCCCCGCCTCAATTATGCCGGCAATCGCAGATTTGCTGCTCCGCATCATGGACTTCCTTCAGAAGCAACAAGACGACGCTCGCCGCTCCCACCACCCTGCACCCGCGCCAGCTGCCGCACCCGCTCTCTTGGGCCTCATCAGGGAATTCCATGGCACTGCACCAGATCCCTGAGCGCGTCCAGGTCGTGGCTGCTGCCCCCCATCACGCCCCTCCCCCTTTGCCGACCACGCCGACGCAGGGGACGTGGCCAGCTACTACCGTCGTCGCCCCACTGGGCAAGAAGATTGCCCCTCTATCAGATACCAACCTCCTCTTGAGGTCGAAGCCGCCCACGCCGTGCGCCGCGGCCTACCCCTGCCACCTCGGTGACCGTAACGGCACAGAGGTCGCCCCTGGCGGCTGCCAAGCTATCTACGACATCGCGGTAGCGTATGTCCGGGTGCCCGGGCGCGAACCCGCCACCGGCTCCCCCCCCCCCCCCCCCCCCCCCCCCCCCCCCCCCCCCCCCCCCCCCCCCCCCTCCCCTCCGTCACCCGTTGGCCTCCCTTGTTCTGCTGACC